CTTATAACAGCTGCAGGGAAAGAAATTAAACATCCTTTTTTGATTGAAAGACTTATAACAGCTGTGCGTGGACCAAAGAGGGTAGCTGTCATGCATTGTAAAGGGCATCAGAAGGGGCACGATGAAGTAGCCCGAGGAAATAGAGCAGCTGATAAAGAAGCAAGGTTATCAGCAAATTGAGATAATCACGCTTATCCTGACATGACAGCTTGTGTAGTATTGGAAGTGCCAAAAGGACTGAGCCCTACATATACTAAAGCGGAGGAACTACAGGCAAATGTAGATTTGCACGGACACAAGCAGGGAGACTGGTATGTACTCCCAGATGGAAGGATTTTTGTACCTGAGAATCTAGCCTGGCCAGTGGTAAAAGAAGCTCATTCAACTACTCACATGGGAAAGAGTGCACTAGCTGAAGCCCTATACCGTATTGTGTACATTAATTGCCTTCACTCGCTATGTGCCCATGCAACTGAGAGATGTAACATTTGTGCCCAGGTTAATCCAAGACAAGGACCTATTCTTCCGCCAGGAAGTCAGCCTAAGAGATATTACCCTATGGATTCATTGGTTGTTGATTTTACAGAAATGCCTAAGTGTGGACTATATAAAGCAATGCTAGTCCTAGTGTGCAATTATACTGGGTGGCCTGAATGTTTCCCCACCAAGACAAAGCAGGCGAGAGAACTGGCCAGAATCTTGCTCAAGGAGATTATCCCCCGATATGGAATACCCTCCTTCATCTCATCAGATAATGGACCTGAGTTTGTACATCAAGTAAATCAGACATTGGCTAAATCCTTGGGGACCCACTGGAGGTCCCATTGTTCTTTTCATCCTCAATCAGGAGGACGGGTAGAGAGGATGAACAGGACTATAAAGGAAAAGGTGACAAAGGTGTGCCTTGAAACTCACCTTAAGTGGGTAGATGCATTGCCACTTGCACTTTTGTCTGTGAGGTGCACCCCTCGAAAAAGAATCAGGCTATCTCCTTTTGAAATGATGTTTGGCAGACCCCCTGTCATAAGTACTAGTTTGAAAAATCATGTAGGGGACTTAAGTCAAATAGGGACTTCATGGGTAAGTCAAATGGTGGGAGAGTTAAACAAGCAAATACAAGAAATCCAACAATATTGTGTGTCCCTTAGTCCACCATTTTTGAGTACCCCCAGTCATAATATTCAAGTGGGAGACAAAATATGGGTAAAACACTGGAAAGGGGAAAACTTGAAACCCAGATGGAAAGGCCCGTATACTGTGGTCATGTGTTCTCCACTTGCAGTAAAGGTGTTAGAATCCAAGTCTTGGATTCACTGGACTCGAGGTAAGCCTGCAGCTGATGAATATTGGGAGGCAGAGCAGGATGAGGCCTGTCCTTTAGTGGTGCGCTTAAAGAAGCGTCCCTTATAACTGCCCTACCGGCAACGGGCAGGCAACATACGGGGCAGAAGAGGCCTTACTGGTGTCACCCCGGAAGCTGACCCTCTACGTACGGCTGAAGACAAGAACGAGGAAGACAGCTGTTAATGTGTTAGTAGTGGGCTGTGTGGTGTAGGTTGGATCTATTTTAAGGAATGGTAGTCCGACAATACATAGCCATAGGTGCAGTGAGTCTGGCCTTAGTCTGATCACCCTGGTTGTGACCTGCTGTATTGGACACCTTTTCTTCTGGAATCGTCCCAATCCCACAGAAACAGGTGTTGCACCTAAAACCACTGCAGAGTGTGTATCTCCTGGAGACACTTATGTTTGAAGAACCCTGGGAGTGGGTCCTCTGTAGTATAATAGGAGTCTTGGGAGTGTGGGCATTATATATAGCAAATAAGACTCGGCTGTGTGGCTCACCCAAGGCTGACCCTGTCCTTTCCCAAATCACCCTTAATCCCATCCATCTCCCTGATGTGGTAATTTCATAATTGTAATTGTTTCCCTTGTTGTGGCTGTGAGTGTGAAACAGAGTGGGACATTGGATTTACATTGACTCATTTTGGATTGTCTTTGATAGTAGGATTTCTACTCAAAGTGTAAGTTCCTGTGTCCGGAGGATTTTTAGGCAGGAAATAGTAAACATTTGGTCATAATTAATTATCTTTGCTGATTACCATTTGTAGTCACTTTTACATGGGCAGGAAACAGTAAACATTCCTTTTCATATATTGGCATTGCATTGTTACATTTACGTTACAGTGTTACATTTGTACTAAAGAGACAGTTTCATATAATGGCATTACATTTCTACAATTATTAAAAGAATAACTTATTTCCTTCAGCAGTTATGTATTCCCAAGCAGGATGAAGAATAATATTCTTAAAATGGCCTTGCCGTCTATTTATACTGTCTTAATCTTATTTAATTGGAATTTTTCAAACACAGAAATTTAGAAAAGTGTGCCTGAAATCAGTGCTCCCATTCATTTGAGCTCAGTGTCCTTGTGCACTTTCGCTTCTCTTGAATCACCTTCAGGTTATCGGTTGGTGACTTGAAAAGTTAGAGCTGGAAACTGAATTGGACAAAACGGAAAGGGGCAGAAAGAGGAAGAATGAGCCACTGTGACTCATTCCTTAGAAATGTGGGCTTCCTTCCTTTTGAGGTTTTAGGAATGTAGAGCCTTAAGCAGGGCAGGGGCTTCCAGGAAGTGGAGGAGAATTTGGGGTCAGATGTTGCCATCTGCACAATTTCTGCTTTCCGTTGCTCTTACCTCCCAGATTTTCCACCCACCCATCTACCCTTGGGAATTTTTGCTTCTGGCCTGAATTGTCCTAGAAGCAATTCTGACATATTCAGATCCACTGAAATCGCTAAGGTTACTTGGCTGCGAGGGGAAGACAGTGTTTGTGTCTTCTGTTGCACCAGGGAAGCAGGGGATAAGAGATGAAATTAATAAATAATATAGGAAGTTCTCTGTGTTTGGGTAAGCATTCTTTTGTTGTAGTTGAAGCATTTTATTCTGGTATGAAGGCTTGAAACTTGCTTTCCGATTTTTGTCTTATTCCCTCTATTTTTTCCCCCAAGCTTTTTTCCCTGGGGCTTCATAGAGTTATGGAGATTCCAGTTCAGTTCCTTGTTCAGACTTTAATACAGGTAATCCTCGACTTACAACAGTCCATTTAGTGACCATTCACAGTTACAACGGCACTGAAAAAAGTGACTTATGACCGTTTTTCACACTTATGACCAATGCAACATCCCTGTAGTCATGTGATCAAAATTCAGGTCCCTGGGTCTTGGGATCACTTTTTGCAAACTTCTGACAAGCAAAGTCAGTGGGGAAGGCAGATTCACTTAACAGCCGTGTCACTAACTTAACAACTGCAGTGATTTACTTAACAACTGTGGCAAGAAAGGTCGTAAAATGGAGGAAAATTCATTTAACAAATGTCTCCGTAACATAAATTTTGGGCTCAATTGTGGTCATAAGTCGAGGACCACCTGTACAATGATCATACGCCTTTTGTAATGTGTTTTGCGGCCTACTTCACGAGGTCATTACAAAGATATAAGTAAGGTAGATTCTGTGCCTCTGAGTTTTTTTGAGGAAAAGCAACTGTAAAATGAATCATGTATGAGGTTTTGGATCTTGATTCTGCAGGCTGATGCAAGTAAACACTGCCAAAATTGTAACCTTAACTAAGATGTCTGCTGGTGTTTTGACCATAGAAACCTGGCTAGAAAACAAGCGATGTTGGTTAAAAGGCAAATGGAGGAAGAAATAGATAGCTGGACTGTATGGTTCTCCCCTCCCCTCCTCCCCCACCCCAATGCTTCCAAATCTTACATTGCCTGGGAGATGTAGGACTTGCCAGTTTTCCTTAAGAAAGTAGCAAATGCAGCATGACTGGCTGGGGAATTCTGGGAACTGAAGTCCATCTTAAAGTTGCCGAGGTTGGACATCCCTACAGTAGAAGGTATTTGGCAGTGAGGGCTGCATCCCTTTCTGCCCATGTCTCAGAATACCTTCTTTGCCAGTTGCCACTGTTAAAATGCAAGGCAGACGGACCTTTGTTCTGATCCAGAATAAGAAAAATTTTCTGTTGTTCAGCTTAAACCTTTGTCTCGAAGCTGTCACCTATAAGCCAGAGAGAACAGACTTCAGACTTACAAGCCTTGATTCAATCTGCTTTTACAGCGGCTAAACAACAGAAATGAAGAATGTAGCATCTAAAGTGCCATACTGTGCTTTTTATCTTACTTGCTTTTAAAGCTTCTCTGATAAAGAGCTGTGTAGAATTTTTGTCCTTTTCTTTCTCCTAGTTATCAATATGACAAGTTAATTTTTGAAGCAGGTCTGTCTTTTCACTTCTCTTGATGCACTTCTCTTGATGTCCTCTTGAGAACTTAAAGCTAGCATGGGAGGGAACTTTTGGTTTTACCAAGTTCTTAAAGAAAGTCCTAAAGTAAGGGTCTTTAATCCAAAATTTGGATAATGTTCTGGGACGATGTCCTTCATTCCAAGCTTGGTGTTGTGGTGAAGGTGCTTGCCTAGAAACCAGGACACTCTGAAGTTCTGGTTCCATCTTAGGCACAAAACCCGACTGGGTGACTTTGGGCCACTCTCTCTCTCTCAATCCAGCCCACTTCACAGAGTTGTTGTGTGGGGAAAAAAGGGGGGGGAATATTATGTATGTTGTCTGCCTTGAGTTACTTATAAAGTAATAAAGGTGGGATAGCAATCTAAATAAATCAGCGTTAAAAGTTTTTCTCTTTCTTTTTCAGCCGTGTCCCAGAATGGCTGCGATGCCCAGATGGATGCTCAGAGAGTGCCTGGCCAGCTAGGGACTTCAGGCAAATGGCACAGGAGCAGAAGTCGTGGCCTGCCTCTTGCGAAGCAAACTAGGTTCCGTTCAGACTGGATATGCAGGATTCACTGTCTTAAGCAGTTGGTTAAATTTGATTTGCTTTAACCCGGAGAGCCCTTTTGGCTACCATTAGCCTGGCTTATTTCAAAGCCATCAACAGGAAGCTTGGGGTACAGTACATCCTCCACTCTGCCATCACCACCATGTCGACATCTTCATTGCGCCGCCAGATGAAGAATATTGTACATAATTACTCTGAAGCCGAAATCAAGGTCCGTGAGGCTACATCAAATGACCCTTGGGGCCCATCTAGTTCTCTCATGTCTGAAATTGCCGATCTCACCTACAATGTGGTAGCCTTCTCAGAAATCATGAGCATGATCTGGAAGCGTCTTAACGACCATGGGAAAAATTGGCGTCATGTCTATAAGGTAAGCGTGCATCGTCTCTTGTTTTTGGAAATATATATTTGTCTGGTAACGGTGCCGTAATCCTCCTGTTCTGTTTTTTTCATAGCGATTCACTGTTACGTCTGTTTCATTCCATTCCCACACTGCTCCACAGATACCTTATTAAGAAAGTGGAATACATTCATATGTATTATGGTGTGCATTTTATTATAGAAGGCATACTTCTTTGGATACATGCAGCACAGTATTCAGAAGAATGGATATGTGCATGGCAATCTGCGTGCTTTATCCCAAAAGTCCAAATATGTGAATTCATTCTCAAATGCAGATTAATCCTCAAGCATGCAAATGGAAGGGCTGTTGGTCAGTGGTAGAGAACCAACTTCTCATCTACCTGATCCCAAATTCAGACCTTGACATCCTCAGGAAAGACTGGAAAGGTCTGAAACCCTAGAAAGCTTCTAAACTAGGATACGTTTTGGTAGCCCAGGAGCACAGTTAATGCTTGGGGTGGGGTGCGCGAGGCTTTAAAGTGAGGGGATGGGATTCCATCATGCAGGTAGTCCTCAATTTATGATCGCAATTAAGCCTGCATATTATGGTTGTAACATGTCATTAAGTGAGTCCATGTGACCACACCTGACTTTACAACTTTTTTGTGCTGGTCATTAAGTGAACCCATTGTCCAAGTGGCCATTTTTGCCGGAATCCAAATGTGAACACAGGGCATTGCAAGTGGCTAAATTTGGGCTATCTTCTAAGCAAGTCATGAGTTTGTTTCTTCTTGCATCTCTTCCAGGCTATGACACTTATGGAATACCTAATCAAGACAGGTTCAGAGCGGGTTGCACAGCAGTGTAAAGAGAACATCTACGCCATCCAAACACTAAAGGATTTTCAGTACGTTGACCGGGATGGCAAAGATCAAGGGGTCAACGTGCGGGAGAAGGCCAAGCAGCTGGTGGCCCTCCTTAAAGACGATGAGCGTCTCAAAGAAGAGAGGGCCCATGCCCTCAAAACTAAGGAGAAGCTGGCCCAGACAGCAACCGGTAAGCTCTCTAGGCCTTGATCTAGTTGACATTGTTCTCTTTGTTATCCAAATCTACATTTCTCATTCTCCAGGTGATTCCTCTTCGGTATAATGAGATTTTTGGAGTAATCCCTGTGTGTTTTAGTCTATGTATTTCATAGGGTAGGACAGAACCACATTATTCCTTTGGATGATGGGAAGAATAATGAATGAATAGCAAAGCTGTCAATCATACATTGGACATGAGGAAGGAGAGAGATTTTCCTTTGAGTTCACCACATTTAATTTCTATGTGTATTTTGGTCTCTAAGTTGCTGCAATCATCTTTAACTCTTTGGGTAGAAACGGCAATACAGGTATTCTTTGTTTAGCAACTGCCTCATACAGGTAGTCCTCAACTTACAACTAGAATTGAACCCAGAATTATGGCCTTAAGCTGTGTTGGTGGTTAAGCAGGTCATCATTTGACCGACCAAATTTTATGACTTTTTTTTTTGCGGCAGTTGTTAAGCAGGTCACCATGCTGGTTAAGCAAATCAGTGGTCATTAAGAGAATGCTGTAGTCAGTAAGCAAGCCCATTGTCTGCAATGTGTTTTTTCTTCTTCTTGAGATTGGAAGTAAATACCCATTGTAAATCGTGGTCACATGACTGCAGGATGATGCAAATATCTGTAAATGCAGGCCGGTTGCCGAGCACCCCAAATGTGATCATGTGACCGTGGGGTGTGTGTGGCCGTCAGAACTTCAAATCCAGGTCGTAAGTACCTTTTTTTGGGGGGGGGTGTCTGTTGTAACTCCAAATGGTCACTAAGCGAGTGGTGATAAGTTGATGTCTATACAATAATCGTTCACAGTTATGACAACGATGAAAAAGTAGCTTTGCGACCAATCCTCACATTTACGCCATTGCAGGTCTGTAAGCAAAGGAAAGCTGAGGTAAGATTGTAAGCACAGTTAGTGTTTTACTTAGCAACCACTTCACTTAATGACCCAGTTGCTGGTCCCAAAAGTAGTCGCTAAACGAGGATTATCTGTACAATGGCCCGAAGGCCAGAGCATTCTTAATTTCATCAAATGTCATTAATTTCTCATTGTATACAGAAAAACAATGGTGTCTCTGGGTGTATGGTATAAACACTGTCATGTTATATTTAGCCTGGAGAAAAAGCATTAGAACAGAAATTGGTGACCAGATGAATGTTACACTTGTTCTGATACTGGAGCAAGGCACCAATTGTGACCCCATTCCCAGATAGCAACCTTTGTCGCTTCTGGTTTCCTCCAGTTATAATATGATTGTCAAGCACAGGAAATCAAGAGTCAAGGCAATGCTAATACTCTCTACAAGAATCTGAACTACTGGACTTCCGGTGGGACGGCGCGCCGATGGCGGCTCTTTTGGAGCCGTCCGCTTGGGAAGGCGTCAGAGCCAGCCTGAACAGCGGACATCAGCTGTTCAGCGGCTTGGAACCTTGTGCCCCGGGAGAAGGGGTCGAGGTGAGTACTCCCGGATAGGAGTAGAGCCCCAAAAGCTCTCCCTTAACTTAGGGAGAGCGAAAATT